TGCATTGGGCTGCTAACTGCCGAGTCAGCCGTTTGCTCCATGGAGAGAGATGGGACTTCTCTTCTACAGAGATGGCAGTTCTACCCTCTCCTGGAGGGTCCCTGTGAGTCAGCATTACTGAAGGCAGTGTGATTTTATCCTTTACCTGTACACTTATGATGCTTTCTGTTGGGCCGGTTGTGAGGATTTTGTTCTGTTCACATGGAGTTGTCATCCATCTTCACCAAGTGCTTCATGTCCTCATTTTTAGCACGCAAAGTTGCATCATCTACATATCTTAATGAGCCTACTGCAAATCCTAATGCTACGTTCTTTTTAAAAGTAGTTTTATTGACATATAATTCACTTATCATACAGATTAATCATTCTATTTATATTAAGGATTGTGCAGACATCACCACAGCCAATTTCAGAACATTTTCTTTTGTACTTGTTAGCTCCTCATTTCCCTCAAGTCTCCCCTGCCATGCCCTTAGGTAATTTTTAAACCAGTTACTGTCTCTGTAGATTTACCTGTCTTGAATTTCATATGTAGAAAATCATGCAAAATGCAAATGGGATGCAGACAAAAATGAAAAACAATATCAAAACAAGACATTTAGAAAAATCTCTATTGAAAAGCAGCAAATCTTAAAAATGGAAACAACTTTAAAATGGGTTAAAAGAGATCAAATGATAAGGTATTACATTTTTAAACATCTGTCACAATCAACTTTACTATGCTCTCTGTCTGGTAGGAGGACTGTTTATATCCCTGGACTATGATCAGAGGGGATTCATGGGAGTTTTAATCCATATGGGAGCCCTGCAAATGGATTTTGGACTTCACTGTTAGCCATAACTTTCTGTAAACCAAGTGTTCAGAATTTAAGCTCTGATACAATTCATTCCTTTGGTTTTTGACTATATTATTTTAAATCCTTATTGCACACAAGCTGATGGGCTTCTTCCATGTGGATTTCATTGATGTCTCATTTAGATGTCTGCTTATTTGAAGACGAGCATTTGAGACACTGGACACTCTTACTTTTTGATAGACGGGTACCATCAAGCTTCTTTACACTTTATTATAGCATCCGTATCTTCAATGATCTCTTCAAGACGGTGAGTATTGAATCGGGCCATGACATAAAAACTGATTGTTTTTAGATTGGGGCTAGAATTGTGTAAACCCCAAATCCATTCATATATCTATGTCTCTGGTTCACTTTATTTTTTTAAAAATCATTTTTTTAGGGGCTCATACAACTCATCACAATCTATACATACATCAATTATGTAAAATACATTTGTACATTCATTGCCCTCATCATTCTCAAAACATTTGCTCTCCACTTAAGCCCCTGGCATCAGCTCCTCATTTTCCCCCTCCCT